AATGCCGAGACTACGCCGGAGCCACCGAGAACGGAGAGAAGCCTGTCGTCCGGGTGCTGTTAGGCAACCCCTCCCTGCACAATTGTCGCCCTAGGTAGGATCTGACTACAATAATGTAGGCCACCTGTAAACCGCTCTGAGACCCAGTAGGGGTCATGAGCGGTATAGAAGTCACATGTAATAATTACGGTTTGGCCTGGCAGATAACACAGTACTCACCAGGGTGACAATGGCACATTCAGCAGTCAGTTGAGCAGCACTGAACAACGTCCGCACAAAGCGGTAGATCTGCTTCTGCTCTGGGTCGTGTGTGTCATAATCTGGCGGCACTTCGGATTTCTAGGGAAACAACAGCACGGAAAGGCTGACTGCAGCACAAGAAAGATGGGGAGGATGTGGATGGGAGAGCAAATGGGTAGGAGAGCCGAAGTGGCAGAGCCCACTTCATGAAAGAAACAATGAAGAAAAATGGGCTTTACCGAAAGGGGGTGGAGGTTTTCATCAAAAATATCTAGGAGCATCCTTCCATCTGTGTCCCTGAAAAGAAAGAAAAGGCAAAGATGATGAACCAATTTTTAACACTGTGGAGAAGAGATATTTGCAGGGGGGAGCAGGGTTTTGACAGAATGCGGGACTTAATGACATTTACCAGCAGCATCAGTTTGAGATGGTATAACAATAAACAAACAAAAGCAGGAAGCTTTTCCTTACGCCACTCCAATAGATTATACATGAACGACCCACATAGGTATGGTCGATATTGTCTTTTCAAATTAAAAGTTGTTCAGATAACAGGGCAATATTTGCAGGTCAGGGAGACCCATTATAGGCAATGTCAAGCAGTAACTTTACAGATGTTTTGCCAAGTAATAGGGGAGACCCCAATACACTGCAAGCTATTGGTACATGTGAATCAGACATGACTTGTGAGCTACTTCAGAAAGCTGTTATAAGAAGGCACGTGCTTATGCTCAGGCACATGCAACTACACAAGGGGTTACAAGAGGAGAAATCTGTTTATCCCAGTAACATGAAAATTCATTTCAAAACAGATGAGAAAATAAACTGCAACCAATAATACAAGGATTTTACAATGATTTCACTAAGATGGTGCATAAATGATGTTATTAAACAAAATAAAACACCATTGTAAAAAGGCCCGCTGTCATGCATAAACCCTATACATTATATGCAGTTCTCTTTAGCTGCCCATGAATATTTGCTAACTAGAAAAATAGGTACTCCTGTTGGTGTTTTTCACTCTCTGCTAGAAAATGCGCCATCCATGAAAAGGAACTGAGAAAACATATCCTTAGAACGTCTGTAAAACTTTCAAAAGCAAAGAGTAAACAGATCACTGAGATGAAAAGCCATGAAGATCTCATGGCTCAAACAATGTCAGGCTGTTTCTTCATTTATTTACTTCTTCACTGATGCATTTAGGCTTACAGCCCACTTTATCCAGCAGAAGGCTCAAGAAGGCATATGACGACACTTCTTTCTAGTTCTTACACATGTTCACACCTATGAGTTACATCACTGTTGGTTTCGTCTCACAGGTAGGGAAGCTGAAGTCAAAAGACCGTGCCTTGCTCAAACCTTTCCACTGAGTTTACAGCTGCATTATGATGTCCTCATAAATCATGGTTTGTAAAGTGTGATTTGAGCAAAAACCACAGATAGTTAGGGTTTCTTGGTTGGTACCAAAGAGGGACTGCAAACTAGGATTTGCAAATGGTTTGTTAACAACAGTTTGAGCTAACTGTGGCTTCTAGTAGCATCTGAGATCACACACAGCAGTTTGTTGAGGAGCACCATCCTTTGCAGCAGCCAAGTCATCAAGACAGACGTATGAGAAAGATGTCTTCCCTGCTGGGAGGTGGAGATAAGGCAAGAAGCAAACAAACTGGGACTTATTATTTGTTATTTACACTTAGTCAACTAAGCAGAGTTTGTTTACACAAACCACAGTTTATCACTGCGTCTGAATGTCTAAGCCCCCATGTCTAAGCCTACCTCACAGTTTGGGGATTTTGAAAAGAGAAAACCGTGATTTGTTCCACTATGTTGCATGGCTCCTTCATTCATGTACAGGAATATCACCCAAAGGCAAAAACTGCAAAGACCTCAGTAACGACGATACTAGCTACAGATGGAACTAGCATCATATTTAACTTTCTGTTGTTAAACAACAGGATTTTGAATCGCTCATTCCCACTGAAAATATATTTTAAAAGATGGGAGCCCAACAACTGGTTTTGTATTTCAAATTATTGGTGAAACTTCTACAACCAGAAGCAAAGAACAGTTATCTGCAAGATACAGCAGAGGGCGCATGTATAACATGTTATGCACAGAAGACTCCTGCAGCAACTGCCACCAGATGCCTTTACTGTTTTGGTTGCAAAGGAAGAACAGACTGCAAAAGCAGCAGCTCTCCACCCCCAAGCCCCTTCCTGTGTTCTAAAACCTTGTATTGGAGTACCCTTCGGTTTGTAATGCCTTAGGGGTAAAGCAGCCGTAACACATAACCAATATAAATGGGGTAGGAGAAATTTAAGGGGCTGCTCTTAATCAGGGGGCAGCTAACACTGTATCTACACACACATGAAAGTGCCTTAGAGTGAATCAGACCCTCAAGGTCCATCAAGGTCAGTACTGTCTACTCTGACGGGCAGCGGCTTTCCAGGGTCTCAGGCAAAGGTCTTTCACATCATCTGTCGCCAGGTCCTTTTAAATGAGGATGGCAGGGACTGAACCTGGGACCTTCTCACATGCAAAGGAGAGGCTCTTCCACTGAGCTACAGCCCATCTACACAAACATTAAGTAACTCAGCAAAGTTTTGAACAAGACTGCCAGGTTTTAGGAGATGGGAATTGAGAGGCTTTGCAGCTCTGTCCCTTCCCAGTGCTCAACTAATAATATAACCCTCAGCATGCTTATTATGAATTTATTTCTAACTGTACTTATGCCAACTTACTTCTCAATAAATGGGTTTAAGAGTAGGCACAATTCTGCCCGCTTGCTTGCATCTACCTTCACGCCATCTTAGTCCTTCCTTTCTCTACAGCTTTTGCTAAGCCAGTCCGAATTCTAAAAACATGTAAGTGCTGCAATCAGAGTTGTGTACATTGAGCAAGCCATATACACTTGTATGATGACTGAAGCTGGTTTAGCAAATCTGCTAAAAACACCCACTCTATGATACAATTATACCAATTCTAACAATAGTAGCATTTCAAACACCACCTGAGCTTTTTGTATACTCTACACAGGCAGAATGTTACCTGTTTCTCCATAGCATGGTTGTCCGCTGGCACATTATTGGTGTGTGGCCTTATGACACACTTCCGGTGATGTCAGGGGGTGTGGCATATGCTAATGAGTTATGCTAATGAGTTCCCCTAGCTCTTTTTCTACGAAATGACCCCTGGTGACCACCAAGATCATCTGCCAGGAAGTAGAGACAAGCATCAACTCAGGAGAAAAGGAAACGCAGAGCAGACAGCCCTGTTGCATCAGTCCCGAGCCAAACATTAAGGGCACACAGCAGGAGATGGCCCACCAATGACACATTGCATGACGGAATTTTGGCAAAGGGATGTCATTCAAGGCTGGATGAGGCAGCAGAGTGGCTGCGACAAGCATCAACTCAGGAGAAAAGGAAACGCAGAGCAGACAGCCCTGTTGCATCAGTCCCGAGCCAAACATTAAGGGCACACAGCAGGAGATGGCCCACCAATGACACATTGCATGACGGAATTTTGGCAAAGGGATGTCATTCAAGGCTGGATGAGGCAGCAGAGGGGCTGCTTTGATAGTAAAGAGTAGCCTTCGTTACCCATTTGGATATTAACTGTGCCGAATAGTTCTGCTCCAGGCATTGAGCACCGCTACATATTTAAGCTTATAAGGCGCCCAGAATCCTCTGGGATGCATCCTGACAGTGTGTGAAGATCAACAGCCACAATGACATCACAACAGGGACAATGAAGAGATCTTGAAAAACTGATTACATGTGACAGTGCACACCCCTTCCCTGGCGAAGAAGAAAGAAGAACTGACTCAATTCACAGGGTGTCAGAGATTCAGATGGTGTCTGCCTTAGCCATGACTAGACTGAAGAATTGCTCCAAGAAGGTAAAGATAACTTGGATGGCTCTGAAGTGGTGGTAAGTACATGAGAAAAGAACAGCCTATCAAACTCACAGTTAGACCTGAAGCACTGTCAATGTACCTTACAGGAAATACTGTCAAGCAAGGAATAGGTAAACACAGAAGCCAGACGGGATTGAAGTGATGCTATTGTATGTACTTAGAAAGTATCTTCCACTTAGTCCCATAGAAGAGATGGTTTACACGCATCCTGCCAAACTCTTGGGAGTATGAATCGTAGTTCAAAGGTGTTTCCAGCAAGCTCCCCCTTCCCCTCCCGTGAATGTGATGAGAGGACAGAAGGAAGCTCTCAAGCAGCTGAAGTATTTCACCCCTGACCAAAGGACAAGCAAAATGGCATAGTAGTGAGCAATGTTCCCTCTAAGCTGTGGAGTCTTGTGAGCAGAAGTTCTACTTTGCGAGCTACTGGCATTAGAGTGGGTGAGCGAGCAATTTGGCTACTGCATAAATTAATTTGCTCTGGAGCCATCCTTCCTGAGCTAAGACAAAAATGTGTGAGCTGGAAGCTAAAAAACAGTGAGCTAGCTCACACTAACTCAGCTTAGAGGGAACACTGGTAGTGAGAGCGGCTTCCGCAGCAGCTTCAAAAAGATTGAGTCTGGTGTTAATGGCGAGTGGAAAGGGTTAGCGGATGGTGAGACTGACATCGAAGCATAAATAATAGTGAAGACTCTGCATGGCTTGTGATGAAATCTCAGTGCCAAAACCTAACTGAGCCAACTTAAGCACTGCTAACAATTCAGAAGTGAATACATGATCAACATCATAGGCCCAGACTGAGCCAGGGCCATTGACTGGGATGCTAAATAGTAGACGGGACTAGCCTGCATCCTTGGACAGTTTTCCTACTAAGCAAACCCACCCACCCCCAATAAACAATGAAAGTTCCTCCTTTCAGGATCTGAAGTCTAAGAAGAGCAAAGTGCAACACAAGCAAACATGTTAACTTGAAGCCACGGAGTCCTCAACAGTTTTTGAACTGCGATTGACATAGGGTAAGGCTCGTTGTGGGAAGAAATACAACGAGCTCTAGAAGGAAGCTCCAGGTGAGTGTCCCGGCTGTGGCTTGTGGGGCGGCAGAGGGAAGGGGAAAATAGAGGAAGGCAAGCCATGTTTATTTCCTTCTGCTTAGCTATAAAGCAGGGCTGTCTCAAGACAGCAACGGTTTAAAAGAGAAGCAGGAAACAAAGCAAACTGCTTACCTTTAACTGGTGGTCTGAGTGGCTGTCTATACAGAATCCATTATATATGGGTTATGCACCTCCACAGAAGCAGTTTCGGAATATTCTAGAGCACTAGTGGGGGGGGGGGGAACACCCTGGCTCTCAAATTCCCTTCCCTGAGGGAAAGCCTCTCCTCAAACACACTGTAGAGGAGGGGGAAATGCCTACTCACTCAGTTTCCTCTTGCCGTTGGAAGCAGTTCTCCAAGTGTCAAGAGAGGAGACAGCAGCAGGGAAGGAGAATGTGTGACTATACAGAAAACTGCTCAAACACCACTATTAAAAGGTAAGCAACCCGAGTTTGTTTTTCATGGTCTCTCTGCAGCTGCTCAATATGAGTGACCACCAAGATCATCCGCCAGGAAGTAGGGACAAGCATCAACTCAGGAGAAAAGGAAACGCAGAGCAGACAGCCCTGTTGCATCAGTCCCGAGCCAAACATTAAGGGCACACAGCAGGAGATGGCCCACCAATGACACATTGCATGACGGAATTTTGGCAAAGGGATGTCATTCAAGGCTGGATGAGGCAGCAGAGGGGCTGCTTTGATAGTAAAGAGTAGCCTTCGTTACCCATTTGGATATTAACTGTGCCGAATAGTTCTGCTCCAGGCATTGAGCACCGCTACATATTTAAGCTTATAAGGCGCCCAGAATCCTCTGGGATGCATCCTGACAGTGTGTGAAGATCAACAGCCACAATGACATCACAACAGGGACAATGAAGAGATCTTGAAAAACTGATTACATGTGACAGTGCACACCCCTTCCCTGGCGAAGAAGAAAGAAGAACTGACTCAATTCACAGGGTGTCAGAGATTTAGATGGTGTCTGCCTTAGCCATGACTAGACTGAAGAATTGCTCCAAGAAGGTAAAGATAACTTGGATGGCTCTGAAGTGGTGGTAAGTACATGAGAAAAGAACAGCCTATCAAACTCACAGTTAGACCTGAAGCACTGTCAATGTACCTTACAGGAAATACTGTCAAGCAAGGAATAGGTAAACACAGAAGCCAGACAGGATTGAAGTGATGCTATTGTATGTACTTAGAAAGTATCTTCCACTTAGTCCCATAGAAGAGATGGTTTACACGCATCCTGCCAAACTCTTGGGAGTATGAATCGTAGTTCAAAGGTGTTTCCAGCAAGCTCCCCCTTCCCCTCCCGTGAATGTGATGAGAGGACAGAAGGAAGCTCTCAAGCAGCTGAAGTATTTCACCCCTGACCAAAGGACAAGCAAAATGACATAGTAGTGAGCAATGTTCCCTCTAAGCTGTGGAGTCTTGTGAGCAGAAGTTCTACTTTGCGAGCTACTGGCATTAGAGTGGGTGAGCGAGCAATTTGGCTACTGCATAAATTAATTTGCTCTGGAGCCATCCTTCCTGAGCTAAGACAAAAATGTGTGAGCTGGAAGCTAAAAAACAGTGAGCTAGCTCACACTAACTCAGCTTAGAGGGAACACTGGTAGTGAGAGCGGCTTCCGCAGCAGCTTCAAAAAGATTGAGTCTGGTGTTAATGGCGAGTGGAAAGGGCTAGCGGATGGTGAGACTGACATCGAAGCATAAATAATAGTGAAGACTCTGCATGGCTTGTGATGAAATCTCAGTGCCAAAACCTAACTGAGCCAACTTAAGCACTGCTAACAATTCAGAAGTGAATACATGATCAACATCATAGGCCCAGACTGAGCCAGGGCCATTGACTGGGATGCTAAATAGTAGACGGGACTAGCCTGCATCCTTGGACAGTTTTCCTACTAAGCAAACCCACCCACCCCCAATAAACAATGAAAGTTCCTCCTTTCAGGATCTGAAGTCTAAGAAGAGCAAAGTGCAACACAAGCAAACATGTTAACTTGAAGCCACGGAGTCCTCAACAGTTTTTGAACTGCGATTGACATAGGGTTCAACAGTGTTAATTTCCGGCTTTAGTAGACAGAAAACTCAGATTGAACAGAGCCTGTGATTACGCAAGAGTTGATTTAGAAGGTAATCGATCTCCCTAGTTTGTTCGCTTCTGAATCAATATGTAGGCAAGACATGGCTAGTGATTAGACAGCAAAGCAAAGGGAAATAGCCCAACGCCCACACTCAATACATATTTATAACTAGGAGTAAGGCTCGTTGTGGGAAGAAATACAACGAGCTCTAGAAGGAAGCTCCAGGTGAGTGTCCCGGCTGTGGCT